TATTTCAGATTCATTGCACACCAACTGAAATATTTCAGGTCTTTAATAGTTTTAATACTGATGATTATGGCATACAGCTCATGAAAACCCAAAATGCCTGTCCCAAAAAATTAGCATATTTCATCCCACCAATGGAAGACAAGTGTTTTTAATACAAAAAACACCAACCTTCAAATAATCATGTTCAGTTATGCACTCAATACTTGGTCGGGAATCCTTTTGCATGAATGACTGCTTCAATGCGGCGTGGCATGGAGGCAATCAGCCTGTGGCACTGCTGAGGTGTTATGGAGGCCCAGGATGCTTCGATAGCGGCCTTAAGCTCATCCAGAGTGTTGGGTCTTGCGTCTCTCAACTTTCTCTTCACAATATCCCACTGGTTCTCTATGGGGTTCAGGTCAGGAGAGTTGGCAGGCCAATTGAGCACAGTAATACCATGGTCAGTAAACCATTTACCAGTGGTTTTGGCACTGTGAGCAGGTGCCAGGTCGTGCTGAAAAATGAAATCTTCATCTCCATAAAGCTTTTCAGCAGATGGAAGCATGAAGTGCTCCAAAATCTCCTGATAGCTAGCTGCATTGACCCTGCCCTTGATAAAACACAGTGGACCAACACCAGCAGATGGCATGGCACCCCAGACCATCACTGGCTGTGGGTGCTTCACACTGGACTTCTGGCATTTTGGCATTTCCTTCTCCCCAGTCTTCCTCCAGACTCTGGCACCTTGATTTCCGAATGACATGCAAAATTTGCTTTCATCCAAAAAAAGTACTTTGGACCAAGTCAAGTCAAGTCAAGTCATATTTATTTATAGAGCACAATTTAAAACAGATAGACTGTTATCAAAGTGCTTAACACTAAAGGTAACACTGAGAAATAAAAAGCAGTAAGAATATACCTTAAAAAATTAAAACAACAGCATTAAAATGAAGACATGGAACAAGATATACTAAATCAACTCACACAGTATGAAACGCCAGAGAGAACAGATGTGTTTTTAGCAGGGATTTGAACACAGGAAGGGAGGTGGCATGCCTAATGTTGGGGGGTAGGTTGTTCCACAGTTTGGGACCCATGACTGAAAACGCCCGATCTCCTCAGAGCTTCAGTCGTGTTTTTGGAACAACCAAAAGCAGCTGATTGGATGATCTCAGAGCCCGAGAGGGAACATATGGTTCCAGTAGCTCAGAGAGGTAGATGGGTGCGAGGCCATTTAGGCACTTATAGGTCAGGAGGAGAATTTTGAAATCAATCCTAGTTCTCACAGGAAGCCAGTGTAGGGAGGACAGAACTGGTGTGATGTGCTCATACCTCGGTGTACCGGTTAAGAGCCGAGCTGCAGCATTCTGGATGAGCTGTAGCCGTGAGATAGAGGCCTGGCTGACCCCAGCATACAGTGAATTACAATAGTCCAGGCGGGTTGTGATGAATGCATGGACTAGTGTCTCAAGGTCGGGTCTAGACAGCACTGGCTTGAGCTTAGCTACCTGCCGCAGTTGGAAGAAGCTTCTCTGCAGAACTGAACTGATCTGTTTGTCGAACTTAAAATCCGAGTCAAAAACCACTCCGAGGTTTTTAACAGAGTGCTTCAGATAAGGCTGAAGGGAGTCCAGGTTCACAGGATAAGAGGCGGCAGCTGACCACTGAGCAACAGTCCAGTGCTGCTTCTCTGTAGCCCAGGTCAGGCGCTTCTGCCGCTGTTTCTGGTTCAAAAGTGGCTTGACCTGGGGAATGCGGCACCTGTAGCCCATTTCCTGCACACGCCTGTGCACGGTGGCTCTGGATGTTTCTACTCCAGACTCAGTCCACTGCTTCCGCTGCTCCCCTAAGGTCTGGAATCGGCCCTTCTCCACAATCCTCCTCAGGGTCCGGTCACCTCTTCTCGTTGTGCAGCGTTTTCTGCCACACTTTTCCCTTCCCACAGACTTCCCACTGAGGTGCCTTGATACAGCACTCTGGGAACAGCCTATTCGTTCAGCAATTTCTTTCTGTGTCTTACCCTCTTGCTTGAGGGTGTCAATGATGGCCTTCTGGACAGCAGTCAGGTCGGCAGTCTTACCCATGATTGCGGTTTTGAGTAATGAACAAGGCTGGGAGTTTTTAAAAGCCTCAGGAATCTTTTGCAGGTGTTTAGAGTTACGTCGTTGATTCAGATGGTTAGGTTAATAGCTCGTTTAGAGAAACTTTTCATGATATGCTCATTTTTTGGGACAGGCATTTTGGGTTTTCATGAGCTGTATGCCATAATCATCAGTATTAAAACAATTAAAGACCTGAAATATTTCTGTTGGTGTGCAATGAATCTGAAATATATGAAAGTTTCATTTTTATCATTACATTATGGAAAATAATGACCTTTATCACAATATGCTAATTTTTGGAGAAGGACCTGTACAGTCAGAGATGATATTAGCAGATAATTTATCATATTGAAGTCCCTGGTTGAATTTGAAACCATATTTTTACTGATCACAAAGTTAAGTGCCTCTGTCGGCGTCATTATGTGCTCGTGTGCGAGATTTCTTTTCATTATCTTGCTGTTGACCTTCAACCAAAGATTAAGAGCATGCTAGGATATTTTTGGTCTCCAAACCCTATGTGTCATTTTTTTCCACCACTTTTTTTGTCTGTCTAAACAGGCCTCATTTGTAAATCAGTCTCCGAGGCTTAATGCGACTGATCTGTTTAAATAAAGATGAATGAATGAAAAAAGTCTTCCAATCTGTTTGTTTTTCTGTTCCTCAGTTTCTCAGAAATCCAGCCAAGAACAGTTCTGTCTAACTCCAGAATGCATCGAAGCAGGTGAGGGAAAGTAGCACATATCTGTTTGTTTAGATTAAGTCCTTTTTCAGCTCTTACTAAATCATCTCAAGTTCAATCATTTATTTATTTGTTCTTTCTGTTTCTGCAGCTGGGTCTATTTTAAGTAAGATGGATCAGTCTGTTGACCCTTGTCAAGACTTTTACACATTCTCTTGTGGTGGTTGGTTAAAGGAGAACCCCATTCCTGAAGATTCATCCTCATATGGCATCTACCCGTGGCTGCGACAGCAAGTGGACTTAAAACTCAAAGGTGTGTGGTTTTTTTTTACCACAACAATTGTGATTTATTCAGTGGTGAAGAAAGTACTCAAACACTGTACATAAGTAAAAGTAAAAATAAACAGACAAAAATGTACTCTAGTAAAAGTAGAAGTACCACATTAATGTTTTTACTTAAGTAAAAGTAAATAAGTACTTGCTTTTAAAAATACTTAAAGTATTTAAAGTAAAAGTACTTGCTGAATGTATTACCTAATGTAATGGTCTACATATCTTTAAGTGTGCCCACCGTATGTATATTTTCTGTAATACATGAATAGTGTTGAGTCATTTTACTGACCGATGCTGCAGATAATACATGTTTTTATTGTGTTTACTCTGTGACACAGTTCACACTTGGACTTGTGATTCTTCAGAATTTCAGGGATGACATGCAGAGTTAAATGCCATTAAGTAAAATAAGAAAGAGGAATGATTATACCTTTCAAAGTTTTTATTGCCAATGTGTCATTTGAACTACTGTAAATACATTTAAGTAAAAGTTGAAAAAAGGAGCATTAGACCCAACAAAGGAACAGGCTCTGATCATTTCAACTCCAGTTCATCATCAACTCTAGTTAAAATATTGTCTAGTCAACCTTGTAATGGGTCAATAATGGACACTATTTTAACTTCCTGACCCATTTTTAAAACTTGGACCCGAGTGTCAAGTCATTTTGAGACATCTCTTGTCTCCTAACATCCCATGAACTGACACATTTTAATATTGCATCAAGAAGTTCTTGTTCAAGTTTAGAAGAAGTTGGTTTTCAAATTTTTTTGAGTCCAGTCTGGCTCTTTTGGGAGAGAGAATATGTCCTGATGCACTAAATAGTCTTTCAATAAGGCCATGGGTGGAATGTACGGTGGAATATATTTTGGGTGTGTTAGTGGTGCTGTGGGTGAGTCCAGCTCAATGGCGTATATACTAGAATATCCATCATTGGTCCAGCTCTTCTTGAAGGTGGGTCTAATGTTACCGGCCCACTTTACCGTGATTCACTGGATCAACTCCCCTCTCACCATCAGTTACTTTCAAACTAACAAACAAATCAATAAAACACAACGTGAATGTAACTTGTAACTCAACACATTATAGAAATGTAGTGTAGTAGAAAGTACAGAAACTTCATGTAAAATGTAGTGGAGTAACAGTCAAAAGTACATGTAACTCTACTTAAGTAAAGTGCAGATACATGAAAACTGTACTGAAGTCAAACTGCAAATACTGGTCTGTGTGGGTGGGTTTGCGGTACCATTGTTGCCAACCTGTACATGGAGGAGGTAGAAAAGAGAGCATTGACGTCCTTTTCAGGGACACCACCAAGTCATTGGTTCAGGTATGTTGACGACACCTGGGTTAAAATTAAATCTCAGGAAGTCCAACATTTTACTGACCACATCAACTCTGTGGATAAATACATCAAGTTCACATGAGAAGATGAAAAAAATGGCAGGTTGGCTTTCTTGGACTGTGAGGTCTCAGTCTCTGATAGAGGACGTTTGCAAACTGAAGTGTACCACAAACCCACCCACACAGACCAGTATTTGCAGTTTGACTCCCATCACCCTTTGGAGCACAAGTTAGGAGTCATCAGGACTCTGTATCACAGAGCAGACAGCATCCCCACTAGCTCAGGAGCCAGGCAGAAGGAGAAATCCCACACAAGA